AGGAAAAAGGGATAACAAGTTGCTCAAAAACGCACCCACGGCTATGATGACTTTATGAAATTTCGGGTTTTCCAGCCATTGTGAAATTCACGTTAAGCAGGAAAATGACTGATTGATTTTATTCTAACGATGATAGGGAAAAGCAAAAGATTGGCCTTCGGGAAGAAGATGGTGGAGCATTTGTCGTCCTTCAAGCAAACCTTTTTCATGCTTAATTACCAGATTGCCATCGTATTTAATCTGGTTTGTAGTTGGTTTAGTCAATCCACAAATTAAAAATAAATAAGGCATTCACTCGTTTTATGAAACATGTGAACGCTTGATTTGATGCGAGGTAGGGCACGCGCATCAGAAGATCGTGTGAGTACGGATTTACGGGACAAGTTTCACACCTTTGGCATGATTTCGGAGCGCCCAGTCAACACGTGTATTACATGTCGAATGGTAGCTTATTTTGGCTGCTTCACGGTGAGTTGATTTAGTTTTCTTGTTAAATTTCTGTTTAATTGATATTAAAATGTTAAGGTTTTTGTTCAGTGTTTTAGAATTATAATTTATATGGGTTAATTTGTTGGGGGTTTTGAATGAGTGTATGGTAGAGTGTAGAGTAGGTCAAAGGTGTTTGACTCTGTTTGGTGGAGCTGAGGAGCACGAGGGTTTTAGATATCGAGGAGGGAGGTGGGGCCTCTAAGGGCTGCTTTTAGCACCTTTGCCATTCATTACAGACAAGTGAACAGTTACCCATGAGGAGAGAAAATGAACTTTAATTGCGATTTGGGAATTGGGATTTTGCTAGCCCTCTGCCCTCTGCATGCCCTCTTTCTTGTACAGTCTGTCCACTGCTCCCAGTCTCTCTCTCTAGTCCTGTCTTTATTTTCCTTTACTTTTATCCTTTTTGTTTTCTCTGATTCTTGTTCGAAACATGTGAGTGCTTGATCTGATTCGAGGTAGGGCACGCGCATCAGAAGATCGTGTGAGCACGGATTTACGGGACAAGTTTCACACTTTTGGCATGATTTCGGAGCGCCCAGTCCCCACGTGTCCGCTCCTGGTCCATCCCGAAATACTAGCCTGCTGCCAGGCACAAATATCAGTTCATGCACCCTATCTTGCGATGGGTACCGTAACATATCCGACACAAGTAGTCAAAACGACACAGGTCCCTAGCGTTACAGAGGTTTCATACTGTCGCATTGGCCACTCTAAACGCAATGAAGGGTTAAGGGTATTACTGTCATTTCAGTTAGAATCACCCCACAGTAAGACGAAAAGTACAGGTTACAATGCCTTTTCAGTTTTATCCACTCGATCAATCCATCTCAAAACTCAATCGCCATCCTTTATTTATTCCATAATACCCTTTACTTTCCCTGTAATTACACCAATGCCACACTAACAACTCATGTACAAGCCATAGTCACTCCCAACTGACCCTTCACTACTTCACCTCTCTCCCTCACTCTCTCTGTGCTCTCATTTGCAGAAAACAATGGCAGCCATAGCCACACTTTTATTATTCGGCAGTCTTGTAGCTGTGAAGGTCTTGAGCAAATTAAAAGGTAATGGAGAAGAATTTATGAATGAGGTGGCAGCCATTAGCAGAACTTCCCATGTCAACATCGTCTCCTTGTTGGGCTTTTGTTTTGAGGGTTCAAAAAGAGCTCTCATCTATGAATTCATGCCTAAAGGATCACTTGAGAAGTTCATATTTGATGCAAATACCCCGAACAAAAATCATCACTTGGGATGGGAAGCATTGGACCGAATTGCACTTGGCATTGCTCGAGGGTTGGAGTATTTACATCGCGGTTGCAACACAAGAATTCTACATTTTGACATCAAGCCTCATAACATTCTTCTTGATGAAAATTTCACACCAAAAATCTCTGATTTCGGCCTTGCTAAGATATGCAACATGAAAGAGAGCATTGTGTCAATGGCGTGTGCAAGAGGCACTGCTGGTTACATTGCTCCAGAGGTATTCTGTAGGAATTTTGGAGGGGTCTCACACAAGTCAGATGTATATAGCTATGGGATGATGCTTTCGGAGATGGTTGGGGGAAGAAGGAACATCAATGCCGAAGCTGAAGATACAAGTGAAATATATTTTCCACACTGGATTTACAAGCGTATTGAACTTGATGAAGAACTTGGTCTGCCGAGTATCGTGAATGAGGAAGACAAAGTAAGAGCAAGGAAGATGATAATAGTGAGCTTGTGGTGCATACAAACAGACCCTTCAAACAGGCCATCGATGAAACAGGTGATAGATATGTTGGAAGGCAGTGTTGATTGCTTGCAGATTCCACCCAAGCCTTACCTGTCTTCTCCACCAAAATCCACGGCAGATTCTTCTACTGCTACATTGGTCTCAACACAATAGAACGTACCCTGCATTTTACTTGAACACATTTATGTTTCTGAATAATGGAATAAGTTTGCAGAGAACTGTATGATTATGAACTTTATCATCAGGTGTGGACTATAATGAATGCAAGGCTTTATCTTTTTATTATTATTATTTGGGTTTATATGAGGTTTTTGAACTATATGAATATGATAGAGCTGCTAATATACCAAGTCAATGGGGGTGTGCATGTAAGTTGTAACGGGGCTGTGGCAAATGCTGATCTTTGTGTCAAAGTATGAGCCAGCTGAGTCAGCCTCAATTCATTGTTGGGGGTTTTGAATGAGTGTATGGTAGAGTGTAGAGTAGGTCAAAGGTGTTTGACTCTGTTTGGTGGAGCTGAGGAGCGCGAGGGTTTTAGATATCGAGGAGGGAGGTGGGGCCTCTAATGGCTGCTTTTAGCACCTTTGCCATTCATTACAGACAAAGTGAACATATTTATTCCATAATACCCTTTACTTTCCCTGTAATTACACCAATGCCACACTAACAACTCATGTACAAGCCATAGTCACTCCCAACTGACCCTTCACTACTTCACCTCTCTCCCTCACTCTCTCTGTGCTCTCATTTGCAGAAAACAATGGCAGCCATAGCCACACTTTTATTATTCACGCACTTGTTTTTAACCGTTCTACATGCCTCATCAAACCCAGATTTCGAGCATTTACTAGCATTCAAATCCTCCTCTGACTCATCCAACAAGCTAGCCACCTGGAACTCAAGCTCCGACCTGTGCACCTGGTTCGGCGTCTCCTGTACCCGAAACAGAGTCTCGCGACTGGTCCTCGAAAACTTGGACCTCCAAGGCTCGTTAGAGCCCCTAACCGCGTTAACTCAGCTCCGAGTTCTCAGCCTCAAGCGGAACCGTCTCTCCGGCCCCATTCCCAACCTCTCAAACCTCACCGCCCTCAAGCTTCTCTTCCTCTCTTACAACGACTTCTCCGGCGACTTTCCCGCCTCCGTCACCTCGCTCTTCCGGCTCTACCGACTCGATCTATCCTACAACAACTTGTCTGGCCACATTCCCTCCACGGTCAACCATTTGACCCATCTTCTCACTCTCCGGCTCGAGGTTAATCGATTCACCGGTTCCATTTCCGGCTTGAACCTCCCGAATCTGCAGGATTTTAATGTGTCTGCGAACCGTTTGACCGGAGAAATACCGAAGTCCTTTTCAGGTTTTCCCGAATCCGCTTTCGCTCAAAACCCGGGGCTATGCGGGTCTCCGGTGCTGAACTGCAAGGGTCTAGTGAACAACCCGACTCGGCCCGGATCTGATGGAGCTATCGCTTCTCCTGTAATGCCGGCTGCTAATCCGACAGTAGTAGCATCGTCTCCGAGTTCACTGCCGGGAAACTCAACGCCGAACAAATCGACAAATACTCGCCGCAATGGAACATCGAAAATAAGTCCAGAGGCTCTCATCGCCATTATAGTCGGCGACGCTTTGGTTCTTGTTTTTGTTTCACTGCTCCTATACTGCTATTTTTGGCAGAACTTCAGCGCCAAAATGCGGCAGGGCAAGAGCAGCTCGAAGCTTCTAGAAAGCGAGAAGATAGTATACTCTTCGAGCCCGTACTCGGCCCAACCCGGGACCGAGCGAGGTCGGATGGTGTTTTTCGAGGGGGTGAAGCGGTTCGAGCTCGAGGACTTGCTCAGAGCCTCGGCGGAGATGTTGGGTAAAGGCGGGTTCGGAACGGCGTACAAGGCGGTTCTGGATGACGGCAATGTGGTGGCTGTGAAGAGGCTCAAGGATGCGCAGATTGGCGGGAAGCGAGAGTTCGAGCAGCACATGGCGGTGTTGGGGCGGCTCAGCCATCCCAATATTGTTAGTTTGAGAGCTTATTATTTTGCCAGGGAGGAGAAGTTGCTGGTCTACGATTACATGTCGAATGGTAGCTTATTTTGGCTGCTTCACGGTAAGTTGATTTAGTTTTCTTGTTAAATTTCTGTTTAATTGATATTAAAATGTTAAGGTTTTTGTTCAGTGTTTTAGAATTATAATTTATATGGGTTAATTTGTTGGGGGTTTTGAATGAGTGTATGGTAGAGTGTAGAGTAGGTCAAAGGTGTTTGACTCTGTTTGGTGGAGCTGAGGAGCGCGAGGGTTTTAGATATCGAGGAGGGAGGTGGGGCCTCTAATGGCTGCTTTTAGCACCTTTGCCATTCATTACAGACAAAGTGAACAGTTACCCATGAGGAGAGAAAATGAACTTTAATTGCGATTTGGGAATTGGGATTTTGCTAGCCCTCTGCCCTCTGCATGCCCTCTTTCTTGTACAGTCTGTCCACTGCTCCCAGTCTCTCTCTCTAGTCCTGTCTTTATTTTCCTTTACTTTTATCCTTTTTGTTTTCTCTGATTCTTGTTCGCGGCGCGAGGCCTAGCTTGTATTCACAACTCGTGCAGTCCGCTTAAGCTCACACACGGTGACATCAAATCCACCAACATCCTATTGGACAAGACCGGCAATGCTCGTGTCTCCGACTTCGGACTCTCCGTGTTTGTACCTCCTCCCCCAGCCACGTCATCCGCTCCACGATCCTGCGGCTACCGCGCTCCCGAGACGTTGGACGGTCGAAAATTAACGCAGAAATCCGACGTGTACGCTTTCGGTGTGCTTCTGCTGGAGCTGCTCACAGGGAAGTGCCCCTCCGTCGTGGACAGTGGTGGGCCTGGGGGTGGTTATGGTGGGCTTGTGGACCTGCCCAGGTGGGTCCAGTCGGTGGTCAGAGAGGAATGGACGGCGGAGGTGTTTGACCTTGAGCTGATGAGGTACAAGGATATTGAGGAGGAGATGGTGGGGCTTCTGCAGATCGCGATGGCTTGCACTGCCGCTTCGCCTGATCAACGGCCCAGGATGAGCCAGGTGGTGAAAATGATCGACGAGATTCAGGGTGTGGTGGGCTCCCCGAGTCATGAGGCCTTTGACTCAATGTCCGAGTCGCCTTCCTTGTCGGAGGACACTTGCGGCGCGAGCCAGTAACCGTTTGCAACCATATTATTAACGGTCTTCTGTTGTAAATCACGGGTTTTGTTTTGTGGGTTTCGATTCTCCTGCTCTGCTTATTTTATTTTCATTTTCGTTTCTGCTAATTACATGGATTGCGAACCTTTTTTTTTTTGTCACAGAGTTTGATTCTCGGCAACTGGTACTCGGCTTTTAACTTGAGTAGGATCTTGTTTAACTAATCTTAATTATATTCAATGTACCATGAAAATGACAACCGTAATTTTCGAGACTAGAAACAGAGGAAATATGAAGCTATGCGTTGCTGAAGTGCATGATGTTTGGTGCAATTCTCAGGAGGCTATCCAATGTTGTAGGAGGGAACTTCCTGGCGAATAGGAAACAGACATCTGTGCTCCTTCCATTATATTCACATCTCTGACCATAACCATTTCAAATGTGACATTTGTGCTCGTGTACTCGGTAGGGTGCGCGCCACCCGTGGTCCAGTCAGCCCAGGTCAAAGACCTGTATGCACTGTTTGCTGCAAATTTCATGTACACAAATGTTGGCAAATAATGTTCTTCTGCAAAGCGTTCGCCTTTGCATCTGAGGAAAAGTGGGAAGTATGTTCGATCCGAGACAACTTCAATGGCAAGGTCTCTATCAACTTCAAACCACTGTGACCCTTTGCTCCATTGATCCAATGTGATTCCTGGGTAGTCAATGAAATAATATCGGCCACGTCCGTCTATACCTGGATCATCGTATACCTCCATTGGAGTGTATGAGGTAAGAGTAGACAGTGGAGAAGTTGTAGAGGGGGATGCATGATTCTGAGAGCAGAACAAAACGTTGGTTTGCGATGTCAAGAAGAGCATTCGCCAACAGGCGGCGCTCAGCCTCAATCTGGCTCACCCTTCCCCATTCTACTTCCTGCAATCAATATTATTACATGATGATGTAGAACATCATAGTTGTAAGTGTTGTCTAAACAGGGCAAGCATCCTCTTAAACCAATTTATTGTTACAGCTTTATTAGAGCTTTTTCACTTGTCCCTTTCAAAACCTCAGTATTTTGAATTTGAAGTCTAAAAAGTCACAGAAGCATAACAAACTTATGAAGAGAATGTAAAATGAGCAAAACAAACTGACCTGACTAGGAATTCTTCGGCCATGAAAACCTGGACTTTCGGGGTGTGATGATACATTGTAGGATGGCTTTGAGTGCACATAGATTGAGTACAAGCCTCTATGCCCTTTGAAGAACTTCTCCCATAACGGGGCCAAAACAACAGGTCCCCTTGTCATGAACATGAAAGCAACTTTGGGAACACGATGGAATGGATATTCAGGAATCCTAGGAGTCATGGAAGCTCTCCATAGCAACTCTGTATCGTTCATGTTGTGAAAAACCTTTGGCGGCTTTATGTATTCCTTTAATCCTCGTATGTGAGGTTCGGCATTGTGGCTCATATTGGAAGTTGAGGCTGTAACATTTGGTATTAGCAGTTGTGAATTGGGTGGAGATGGCATACCTGAGAAGGAGAATTGGGCTAATTGTTGACTAAATGAAAAGTCTATGAAATAGGTAAGTATAATTCCAAGGGTTAAAGTTCCGTAAACAAAGAGCAGGAAATAAGAAAGGAGATTGAGGAGGTGGAGATTGAATAGTTTTGGAAACAAGTTTGCTTGGTTTTGACCTTGATCCTTCATTTTACACAACAGAGATTAGACTTTGAGAGGTGGCTGGCTGCTGAAGTTTGTCCTGCATTTACCTTACCCTCAGTATGACTGCACTTGGGTTTTCAATTCATCCATGGGGTGACTGAAAATCGCGGCAGCAGCGGCACGGGGGCACGAGGCCTAGCTAGCAATATTCAGAATCACAGCCAATGGCTAGCACGTTCCCTTTCACAAGAAGCCAAGTGGTGAGGAGCGGAGGCTGGTGGTGTGGTGTGTCCGTGTTTTATGAGGAGGCCTCCGAGACGGCTTCCTTGTCCAAGTGAGATGGTACCAAACCTTTTTCAGTCTTGTGTTGTAAATGATGGATTTTGTTTCTGTTGTTGCGTTGGGGGTTTTGATTGTCTTGCTTGATTTAGATTTTTGAATTTCCATGTTTAACTACAAGGATTGTGAACATTTTTATAAGGGTGATTGATTCACAAGGTCCTTGTTTGCAATTAGTTAGCTTATTACATTATTATTGGATGCTTGTATTTTTATTCAATATGAAATCCACACAAATTCCCTTTTTCTTTAATTTTTATGTCACAACATTTCTAGAGTTTATGATTTTTATGACCTCTACATGGTTACGGAATATACCTTAGTAAGATTCTATAATGTTCAATTGTTAGATCTTGGCCGAATACTAACTAGTCTAGAAAGATGTGACAGATTTGATCATAAAATTATACTTTAAATATTGCTTTTTTGATTCCTTAAATTCATAATTAATATCGAGATCCCTACATATAGAGGTTTGGAATCTCTCAATCTCCGAGTTGCCTTGCATTCTAAACCTTTAACTTTGTTTTTGTCTCGTTGTGTTTTGTTAGATTTCGATTCTCTTCCTTTCGTGTTGTTAAATTATTATATTTCCTTTCTGCTAATTAAAAACTTGGCCAAATAAATTAGATTATAGTAGCCAACAAGCTTATGCAATGAAAAGCCCAAAATGAAGCATAATTCGATGCCTATATAATAATAATATTCAAGAAAATTGATCGTGTACCATGAAAGTTAAAAGATGCCTTTTAATTTCCCAAGGTTACAAACAAAAAGACACGTAACACTATATAAATCTGTTTTGCTAATTTCTAATGTTTTTTCTTTTTCTTTTTCTTAAGGAGCAACATTGTTGAAGTGCATGATCTTTGGTGCAATTCTCAGCAGGCTGTCCAAAGCAGAAGGCGGGAACTTCCTCGCGAATAAGAAACAAACATGTGTGCTCCTTCCATTATATTCACATCTCCGGCCATAACCAGTCCTCAGGCCATTCAAAAGCTCAACTGTGACATTCGAGCTCATGTACTCGGTAGGGTGCGGGCCGGCCTTGGCCCAGTCAACCCAAGTCAACGTCCTGTTTGCATTCTTTGCTCCAAATTTGATGTTCACAAACGTTGGCAAATAATGTTCATCTGCAAAACATTCGCCTCTGCATCTGCGGTAAACTGGGAAGTATTTTCGATCAGAGACAACTTCAATGGCAAGGTCTCTGTCAATTTCGAACCACTGTGACCCCTTCCTCCATTGCTCCACTGAGATTCCTGGGTACTGAACAAAATAATATCGGCCACGTCCAACTGCGCTTGGATCATCATAGACCTCCACGAAAGTTTCTTTGGAGTTTATGAGGTAAGAGTAGACAGTGGAGAAGTTGTAGAGAGGGATGCATGCTTCTGAGAGCAGAACAAAGCGTTGGTTTGAGATGTCGAGAAGAGCATTCGCCAATAGGAGGCGCTCTGCCTCAATCAAGCTCACCGTCCCCCATTTTACTTTCTGCAATGAAGATGATGATCAGAATTAGCATTCTAATGTACTCAATTGCATACATTGATGAACTTTGCTCATGTATGAATAAATGCATCTTAATAAAGTGTTTCCTATTAGCACTCTAAAATTTGCAGATAATGGGAATTGAGCAAAGCACTGACCAGATCACTGGGAATTCTTCGGCCATGGAAAACCGAACTTCCGGCGTAAGACGACTGATTGAGGGACGGCTCTGAGTGCACATAGATTGAGTAAAAACCTTGATGCCCTTCAAAGAACTTCTCCCACAATGGGGCCAAAGGAGCAGGTCCCCTTGCCAAGAACATGAAAGCAATTTTGGGAACTAGATGGAATGGATATTCAGGGATCCTAGGAGACATCGAAGCTCTCCAGAGCAATTCTGTATCGTTCATGTCGTGAAAAACCTTGGGCGGCTTTAGATATTCCTTTAACCCGATGCGGGGGTCGGGTGTGAGGCTCATACTGGTTGTTGGGGCTGTTGCATTCGGCATAACTAGAATCTGTGAATGATTGGATGGAGGAGGAGATGACAAAGTTGAGAAGGGGAATTGGGCAAAGTGCAGATCAAATGAAAAGTCCTTGAGATTGACAAGTACAACTCCAAGGGTTAAACCGGCCACAAAGAGCAGGACATAAGAAAGGAGATTGAGGAGGTGGCGTTGGACATAGAAGACTTTGGGAAAAACGCTTCCTGGGTTTGGATCTTGAGCCTTCATTTTTCCCAAGAAACTTTGGGATATGAATTGAAAGACAAGATCAAATCAGAGAAATATGAAAGACAAGCATATCACATATCATATGCGATGAGAGAAAGAGATGGGACTTTGAGAGAGTGATGGCTTAAAACTATTTGCTGAGATTTGGGGTATGCATGCTGATGCTGGTGGTGATGACTTTGTAACTAACCGTAACCTTGGGGTAAGGTCAAACAGTGCTCTCCATTTAGCCCTGTCAATAGGAATTTGAGTATTTTTCAGTTTATCTTTGTATTTAACGTAAAAAATGTACAACCCTTTGTTTCAAATCCACAGTACAGTTAACAAAATTCCATTTTTGAAGGTAAATACAATGCTCTATTTTAAAAACAAAAACAAAGAGTTGAAATCATTTTCAGTAACACTTCTTTTTCCTCGACCCAGAATTTCTTTTTGGTGAAATGACTCTTCATTGCAGAGAAGGAACAGAGATTTATTACCTTTTTCAATGACATAAAATCTAGAGAAAACCGGAAAAGAAAAATAACAAATATTTATTACCTCAGTCGATTGGTTTCATTTCTAAAGAAAATTTATTACCTTAGTCATTTTTTAATGCACAATTAGCCAAAAAATTTGGTTACAGCCTGATTTCGCTTTTTTTTATTCTCTTTGGTTGCAATTAAAAAAAAACAGAAAAGTCTTTGTATTTTTTTAAATAAACTCAATTTCTTGGGGTTTAAACAAAGAATAATACTTGAAAGAATAAATGCGATGTATTTGGGTTTGTTGGCTCCCTCCCAAAAGAACAAATCAAACCAAAAACTAACAATACTGGGCCTGGGACATATATCTCAAGGCCATTATGGAATTGGGCTTTTGAAAATAAAAATTACCAGAAATAATATACAATAATAAAGTGACGAAGTTAAAAAGAAAAAAGCTTGTAATAAATTTTCATTTTGTACCCTACAGTACAGTCTACACTTGATCAATCCAAAAATGAACAAATTAACTCATGGATTTCTTTTTCTTCTTTTTTTATCTGTTGAAGCGCATGAGCTTTGGAGCAAACCTCAGCAGCCTTTCCAAAGTATCAGGACCAAACTTCCTAGCAAACAAGAAACAAACGTTGGTGCTGTTTCCATTATATACACACGCAGTCCCATTCCTCAATCTACTCAAAAGCTCAACGGTGACATCAGTTCTTGTGAACTTGGCAGGGTGGGGGCCACCCCTAGACCAATCAACCCAGGTCAAACTCCTATTCGAACTCTTTGCCCCGAAGTTGATGTTCGCAAATGTTGGCAGATAATGCTCGTCTGCATAGCATGAGCCCCTGCAGTACTTTTGGAAAGCTGGGAAGTATTTTTTATCTGAGACAATTTCAATGGCAAGGCGTCTGTCCATCTCAAACCACTGTGACCCTTTCCTCCACTGGCTCAATGAGATTTTTGGGTACATATGGGAATTATACCGGCCCCGTCCGACAGAGCTTGGATCATCATAGACCTGTACAAAACTTTCGCGGGAGTGTACGAGGTAAGAGTAGACAGTGGAGAAGTTGTGGAGGGGGATGCAGGATTCTGAGAGCAGAACAAAACGTTCGTTTGAGATGTCAAGAAGAGCATTTGCCAATAGGCGGCGCTCGGCCTCAATCATGTTCACATTTCCCCATCCTACTTCCTGCAATTCAATTCAATGAAGATGTGATCAGATGAAGATGGTCAGAATATTGTTAAACCCATCAAATTCTGCTACATAGTTTCGTATAACAATGTCATTTTGTGATTATGATAGCCATCAAATCATTAAAGAAAAGAATCATTGAGTTCCACCTAATGTGGAAATTATTGTGACAATTAGTGCAGGTTATCCATCACATCAAGTGATTGTTTAAGAGCATCGTGATGATTTGAAGGCTATCTGATAGTTCATGTGCCAGTGATTTGAGGTGCTTTAAGTAGGTAGTTTGTCTAAACAGAGCAGATACCCTGTTAAGCACTTCATCTTTCTGCCGACAAGCATTGTAGTTGAAACTTTTTAGTCATTCAACTTCACAATAGATCTTCTCCCTCTCTCACATTGTCACTGTTTAATGGACACTTTCCCTTGTCCCTTTCGAAACTACTTTTCCCTCCAAATTTATGCTTTTTTGCAATTGAACACATTCAGGTTATGTAGTAACTCTAAAGAATGCAGATCACCTAACCTCAATTCTATAATCTGTGTTATAAAAGGAATTTCAAGTTTAAACAAATCACTAATGAAGTAAATTTATGCAGACATTGCAAAGTAAGCAAGAGACTAACCCGGCTAGGAATTCTCCTGTCATGGAAAACAGGACTTTCGGGGTATGATCCATTGTAAGATGGATTTGAGTGCACATAAATTGAGTACAAGCCCCGCTGCCCTTTGAAGAACTTCTCCCACAATGGGGCCAGCAGAACAGGACCCTTTGTCAAGAACATGAAAGCAACCTTGGGAACTCGACGGAATGGATACTCAGGAATCCGAGGACTCATCGAAGCTCTCCATAGCAATTCTTGGTCGTCCATATCGTGCAGAACATTAGGCGGCTTTAGATATTCCTTCAATCCTATGTGAGGCTTGGTCACATTGGCTTCGAAGGCTTTCACATTTGGCATTAGGGTATGTTGATTGGATGGAGATTGTGAGGTTGAGAAGGAGAATTGGGGTAATTGCAAACTAATTGAAATGTCTTTCATATAAAAGCTAAGTACCATTCCAAGGGTTAAACCACCACCAAATAGCAGGAAATAGAAGAGGAGATTGAGGATATGGAGTTGGGCATTGAAGAGTTTTGAAAACAAGTTTAATGGGTTTTGATTCTGACCCTTCATTGTAGATAAGAGAGTATTAATAATAATAAATATTTACAGGGAACTTGAATGGGTTCTCTTATGCAGAGAAGCTCAATCCTTCTCCGAGTTTATTGAGAAGAAGAGAGCCAAATAAAAACTCTGGGATATCAAGATTGGCAAAGACCAAGTTCGTTTCAAGGTTTGGAAATTAAGGAAAACGAAATATCTGTCTATATATGCCTACTGCACACGTATATAGCAAAATATCCTTTTCTGGTCATATATCCATATAGAGACTAGAACAAATATGCAGGCCGGTGGGATCGTTAAAAAAACAAAGAACCAAATCAAATGAAATCTGAAACACAAGCAAATCACTTCGAACTAACCCAGAATTGGAAACAGAAAAAGATATTCGTACCAGGACTTGTAGTGCGAAGCAAAGAGAGATGAAGACCAATGGAGAAGTCAAGAAATAAATAAAAAATGGAGGGGAAAGTGTTATAAGCAAAGGGAAGAGAAAGCTTGGTTGAAGGGAGGTCTTTTTCTGACTTTAAATTGGTGTGGTGAAGGCTGGTAACCTATATGGCCATACGGATGCTGCCAATGACTTTGGAGCTACACAAATGGGGTAGAGGGTAGAGGGTAGAGGCACAACTCTCCCTTTTCGATCTGTCCACAACACGAATTAGAGTTACGTTTAACTTTGTATTTAAGGTAAATGTAACGCTTGTGTTTTTAATCTTTTCAAAAAATTTCTTTTAGGACCCACAAGTTAGTTTTGGCGAAAATGACTCTTCACTGCAGTAAAGAAACGAAGATTGATTGATTAGGTTTTGCATTCCTCAATATAATCATGAAAACCCAAAAAGAAATTGTTTGTAGAAATTATTTCGCTTTGAAACGACTCGGGCCTACGTTATCTCTGTGCTTGGACTTTCAACTTTATGTTACCAAATTAAAAGCCGCCAATTAATAGTAATAAATAATAAATAATAATGCTATTATATAGCGTGTGAAAAACGTAGCTTCCATTTTTGCGACACGTTTTCATTCCGACCATTCAAAAGCTGCGACATCGTCAAAACGCCGCCGCTAGGATTATGCATGGCCCAAAACCTATATGTTTTCTCCTTCCATGCAAATGCAATCACAAGAAGCTTCTGTGGAAAATCAAGGCGACAGGAGAAGCGTTCACATGTTGATCTCCCAACCCAAGTAATTGACGCCTAATTTGGAAAATTCAATCAGTCACTTTTATCCCTTCTCTTTAACTTATTATTTCATGAAAATCCAAGGAGAAGAAAGCAGGAAAGTTGAAGATTAGAAAGAAAAAAGCACCAATAATTATTTCCTAATCTTTAAAGAGATACTGTTAATGGGTTCAATTCGTTTATGATTACTTTACTATGAAAAGGGAGTTTGGCTCGTTTCCGTATTAAAATAATCGTCAACAAACTAAACATTATGATAATTTTTCTTTTGTTTCTACTTTCAATACGGTAAGAAAATCCTACACATAACAAAGTTTTCCAGCTCGTAATGACTCTTTACACGTTTTTCTTGCAGTGATTTTCGCTGTCACTAAACTCCTGTTATGATGTTAATTGTTTCGGTTTTAACCAAATTATAAGAATTAATTAATATCTCAATCTCCTTATTTTAGGTACAAATTTTATGAGAGAAATTAAAACTATAGATATTTAGTCATATGCCCATACTAAAACTATAAATAAACCCTACACCATTTAATTTCTATAAACAAACCCAAAAGAAGATAGTTGGCCATATTGAATTTAATTTTGATTATTAAATTACTTTGATGCCCTATTGAGTGTTTTTGGGCTTTTTTTATAAGGTTTTGGGGTTTGGTTTGTTTTAAGAAATCAATGACAGTTTTGTAATTTAAAAGAAGTTAAAAGTTTTTTTGTTATGTTGTAAATGAATTTTGGATGTGTTTCTAAAGTCTATTTCATATAGGGTTTTTTATATATATAATTTGGGCTCCTATATTTGGTATAATGTAAATCCCCCTTAAAATTGTGCGTAGGTTGTGCAACTAAATGAGCATGCCAGCAAGCAGTTGTATTAATTCTCACTCGAAAAAAATGGTGTAATTTTTTTTCTTTTTCTCAACACATAATCATAAGCATAATTTACGGACTTGACTTGTTTAAAACCAAAAAAAGGGAAAAAAAAGGGACAGCAAAGCAAAAGAACAATACAAAAGACAGAGACAACTATATGGTTACTTTTGCACTGAAAAACAACAAACCAAAAATCTACTTTGTTGAACTTATACGAACGTTGTCACTTCCAATCTGAGATTGAAAGTAAAATGCGGTGTCCGTGGTCCAAAAGGGAACAGATAAAAGACAAAGTCTTGTCCAATATGATGGCTTATTAGTAGTACACAGACTTCAAATAAAGCCTCCCCCTTGATGAGAATCGTTGCCAAACAACAAGAGGTTGAATGCACGGAAAGAGAAGGCTTTCTGCCAGTCAAACTCACCGCCTGTCTTTGCTTTGATTGAGGATGAGGTTCTAGTCTTCTGGTCAATAGCTGCACCACCTGTCGTTTCTACTTTTCATTCCCCACAATGCAGGGTATGGCTGACGTCAGTCGGTTAAGGCAGTAAGTTCATAGTTTATTCTTTGTCGAGCTCTTGCATTTAGGTTCGAATCCCTTCCTCGTAAATTTGATTGATTTATAGTAGTTTAGTCTTTCGCTTGTATCAACAAAAATAGTAAATGCAAAATTCAAACAAAAAAGGTAAAATTCCTTGACGTCCAATAGACCAACCAACGTCATAGTTTATACAAATGGGAACATTAATTGGACTGGGATGAAATTTCATGTTAACTAGACCAACCAAACGTCATACTAATTATAATAAGCAGGCTCGATCTTTAGGTGTTAAATCCAAACAGAGCTGGAGCTATTTTTAGTAAAGGCTCCAGTGTACTTGGATGAAACTTCCTTGCAAATAGGTGGCAAATGGAGCTCATGCCACCATTGTAAGTACAATTAAATCCATGTCTTAACCGATTCAGAAAGCTTTCTGTGACATCTTTCCTCACAAACGTTGTTGGGTGTGGACCACCAGTTGACCAATCGACCCAGGTAATGGTCCTGTTTGAGTTCATCCCAGGACCAACTTTGGTCACAAGAGTTGCCAAGTAGTGCTCATCTGTGTAGCAGGGAGGCAGGCAAAAGTCCTTAAATACAGGGTAGTATGTGGGATCGGAAACTATCTCTATGGCAAGCTTTCTGTGAACTTCAAACCACTGAGAGCCCTTACGCCAATCTGATAATGTCACGGTTGGCCACATTTGCTTGTTGTAACGTCCCCGACCAACGTTTCTTGGATCATCAAATGAGCTAACAAAACTGTGGTTGGAGTTGACGAGGTGGCTGTAGACTGTGGTCAAGTTGAACAGGGGAATGCATGATTCAGAGAGCAATACAAATCTCTCATTTGAAAAATCCAGTAAGGCATTGGCTAATAGGCGCCTCTCAGCATCAACCATTGTTGGCTTTCCCCATTCAACTGCCTGCAGATCAGTACAATTTGAAGAACTTAATGAATTTTGCATATGCATGTCAAATCCCACTAAACTGTTTTCATTGTTAGTTGGGTTCTTGTAATAAACCGAAATGTGTATTGGTAAGATTGCTGTCTATAAAGTTCTAACCTGGCTTGGTATCTTACGCTTGTGAAACACTGATGATTCTGGTGGCTCATTCTTGAAGTCCGGTGCTGCATGGAGATAAACTGAGTAGAAGCCATCATGTCCCTTGAAAAAACTTTCCCAGAGTGGTGCGAATGGCAATCGTCCCTTTGTTAGGAACATAAATGCCACCTTTGGTGTTCGATTATAGGGGTATTCGACGATGTGTGGCACCATTGAAGCTTGCCAAAAGAGCTCCTCATCACTCATAGAATGCCATAGCTCCTTGGGAGCTGTGTAATCTTTCAATAGTAGTCCTCTTGGATTTGAAATACTAAGAGGCAGTAAATGAGAAGACAAAGAAAAGTTGCACTGACAATGTGTAGAGGGAGGCCAAGGAGACAGTGAGGGAAATGTCTTCAGCTGAGGGAATGAGTCATCTGAGGTTAAGAATTTCCTGGTTCGATCATTTATGAACATCCCGAGAACGAAAATGAAAAATAACATTGACAAAGAGAAGATGATGAGGGTTTTGACATGAAAATGGCCACCGGAAAGCTCTTTAACAACAACAGTGAGCTTACCCTGCTTCATCTGTGATTGTGTTTGTGTGTTCTGGTTTGTGCGTTTGAAAACTTAAAACAAGAAGCCAGATGATTATATAGTCCATGTATGTGAAATGATGGGTAAACAGTGAGCTTACCCTGCTTCATCTGTGATTGTGTTTGTGTGTTCTGGTTTGTGCGTTTGAAAACTTAAAACAAGAAGCCAATGATTATATAGTCCATGTATGTGAAATGATGGGTTAGGGGATTGTGTGTTCCATGCTACCAAGTGAGAAAAAGTATGTGCTTGAGAAATGGGTAGGCCTAAAAGGCTTAAACATTTTGATTAGAGAGGCAATAACACATGAGAATCGCCATCACAACCCTGAAAACGTTAAGATACTAGGAGAACACAGGGCACAGTTCATCAATATCTTGTGTTAACTCAAGGTATTCCGGACGTTATTTCAAAAGGGCATATACACCACCCATTGAATTGAAATATTTGTGTTGTAGTTTTATTTTTCCAATTTTCTTTGAAACTAGAAAAGAGAGACCTTCCACCAGGACCATCTGAGCCTTTGTTGGGAATGGGGGAGAGTTTTTTTTTTTTTTTTTTTCTTTTCTTTGAAGGTAAGAAAAGGGTTTAGGGAATGCGCAATTGACGAAACAACTGAAAGGAATGATAACGTTACTTTTCATTTTAACTATTATATAATCTTGTTACTAGAAAAAAGCGCAAGGATCTTGTTTTGTTATGCATTGTTCGGCTGCCTGAAGCCTTGAAGAAAAACTTCCACTGGACAAGCCTATAGTGTCCATCTCTCTCATCACATGGCCACGGCAAGAGTCTCGGGTCTGGGTGCCTGACTTTGAGGAAATCACTTACACCAAACAATAAAATAAAATACAAGTGCAATTTTGACAGTTCGCATTTATTTTTTATAATATATTAACACAATTCCAGCCTGTTCCTGGGAGTTGATCCTGGCAATTACCCCCAAGAAAATCTTACTTGGAACTAAACCTGTTTTTAAACGAGTACAACAGAGCGAAGCTAGCCAACACCCCAGCAACAAGAAACTGAGATATCCTAGGCTTCGTACAATATAACCGGACACCACAACTAAAGTACGCCCAAATCCATTGAGAGAAGAAACGCAGCCCACAAGTTTTTTGGAACTTCTGAATCAAAAATTCCTGCATGGAGTAATTCAGCAAGCTTAATTAAGCCCCGCTCTAATTCAGACTCAAAACATTGCAAGAACTGTTTTGCTCCCCGACGCTAATACAGACACAGGTGATACGCATTAGACCAAATAAAAAAATTATATGACATAAATTATACATTGAAAATTCTCCGTCTGATTCTTTATAATTCAAGGATTCAATTAAGTTGCAAATGGAGCTATATTTGACGAACTTGCAAATGGTGTTATATCAAAATAATCAAATATAATTTCGAGCAACAAATGCAAGGAAAGTGATCCAACCTAAAGGTAGTTTGTGAATGGGTCAAAGAGAGAGCAGCTTCCTCACTTGGGCTCATAATTTACCCACCTTATCAGAGAGTTCATCAATACTGTGATAGAAAGTTTCTAAATAGAATCCCTGCACACCTTAAATGGAATTGTTTGAATTTGAATTTAATATGTATATGCTTGCAGCTCAATATGGATGGGAGCTGCCTACATGCATGCTAATTTGCATTGATATAGGACTAAGGAAGAGATTATGTCATGAAACCTGGAAAATTTTACCTTTGGTAACTTATCTTGCTGGGCTAAATGATCCACATGAAGCCTCACATTTGATGCTGCAAAAATCCAAATGCTAGGATCAACCTCCGAATATACATTTGCAACTATGTCAAACAATGTTTCTGCTCCATTTTCTATCGCTTTCAAGATGGAACTTTCTCTTGCTCTGCGGTTCCTGAAAGATAAGACTCCTCTGTCTGATTACATCTAATATTGTGCTATGATAATCCTTCTTTGAATTAGTTTTGGGCCAAATACACACAAAACCGGAAGGGGAGAGAGAGAGGGAGAGATTTCTGTTTCATACTTGAGATATCCACAAAGCATGTGTTTTGGCCATAGGTTAACTCTTCCATGCATGGGAACCAAAGCATGTGGAGCAAGCTCCATAAATTTGTAAGTTGATTGAAAGTAATCCTGCATAACCACCGTATCATGGGGTGAACCATTAATCTTTATCTCCGCTTTATCATCCAATCATTAGTCGACTCTCATCCAATAGGCTAGTAAAACAATTGATGTAATAATATTCCATAAAGAGGACTTAATGAACTTACAGTCATATTTCCCCCGGAAGTAACATCCAGTACAGCACTACCTTGACTGAAACAAACCAAAGTTGCTTTTAGAAGAGCCATCCCAGCAGGTAAACAAGTCAGACCTATAATAAAACCTAAATTTGAGAATAAAAACTGTAAACAGATGAGGAAAGATGGAAAGATGACAATCCCTCAGATTAGCATGGTTATTCTACTTCTTATTTAAGGGAGAAGGTAAGGGAAGGGGGAAGGGGGAAGGTAGATGGAAGAGGGAGAGGCAAGAAGTCATTGCAAAGCTCTATACAAACTGTTCACAAGGATGTTTATTTCATTTTAAACCTAGACAAAGCCAGGAACGCAAACAACAACAAGGCATAGGGGGAAAAATAATAAATTTTATCAATTTTTCTTCCCTTTTTTGAGCCTAAAGCAGGGGCCTAATTCATAATCTAACACAAAGTTTACAACACCGGAGGAAAAAAAAAACTAGTTAATCATTTAGTCGATATATTATTTATGCTCATTTTCCTATTAACTTATCCTATCTGTAACTATTCTACTATTCTAGTGTTTTTCCACATACACCAATCAACTAAGCCTGTGCAATGAAGCATAGTTTGATGCAAGTTGAAGAAATCTATAGGCTACCTAAGTTTGTTTTCTTCTTGTTATTGTTTTTATTTTTATTTTTCACAACATAATAGAATATAGTCTTTACTCAGATTCTGCAAATCAAATCATAGGTGAGGGTGCTCATAGAGTCATAGCAAAGCAGAATTCTCTTATATCTTACCCCACACAATGATCACCGACAATCAATGAGTGAGTACTGGCATGAAGCAGTCCCATATGACCATCTGTATGTCCCTGAATTAAAAGAATTGTTTATTTAAAAGCTACATATAGAGAATCAGGTTGCATATCAGACTAATATTTATTAGTCATAAATATGAAACTGAAACCTTCATTATGATTTTTCTGAAGAAAGCAAAAGTCCTTGCTGCTAATGTTATAGCAAGAATATCACAGTTACTGAACAGATAGTTCGAATCTTGGAAAAATAATAAGCCTACAAATATCTGAAAACAAGTGAGGTTTTACTAGTTCAAATCAAAGATTGAACTTCGTAGATAGAGGAAAAGGAGTGCGGTATGGTTCCCTTTGCTATATTGCAATTGATGTCATAAGTACAATTTTTTTAATAAGAAAGTCAAGTGAGAAATACCGGAGAAAAAAGGGCAATCAGTCGCTGACCACCAATGCAAATCTCTTCAGTTCCAGAAATTGCAGTAAAACCAAGAGACCAGTCATCTGTCATCATATGACAATAAGATTAGGAAGTAGAAGCTTAGAAGCAGAATATGACCCAACATATTAATTAGCATCTCACATCCCTAGATCCCCAAACAGGATCCCTCTTCCATCTTACTAAAAGATTACCAGTCATTCTATTTTTCTTAAAATTTAATAACGTCCTTGATGTACAATCCAAAAGTGTACAAGGGGACAGTAACACTAGGATATCAAGGGCTAGGAAGTAAAGTCATATCCTCTTCATATAGAGTTAGTTTCCGATTAAACCTCATTTAAAAATCAGATGAAGCAGTGTAGTGCAATCACATAATTGTGCTAAGATCTTTATCCCTAGGCTTTTCAGTCACTAGAAACACAAAATGTTACAATCACAACCTTTTCCAATGCGTCGCATGGTATTTTCATGTGCTAATAAAGTAGCATCAGGGTTGCAACGTTGAATAACCGAAAGACCTGGGAAAGTAAAAAAGACCAAATGTCTACACATCAATTTAGTTTGACCAAACACAAAAATAATATATGAAGATGGCTTATTAGAAGTTTTGCTAGTTTTACGAAAACTTACCATCCACATGATCGTGATGATGATGAGTAACAAATACAACTAACTTTCTCGGCAAAGAAGCTACAATTTGTGCGAGCTGATCATAAATTATAAGGAAAAAACTAGTTATCAGGTTTCCAAGAAAAAAAGAGTAGAGAATGCAATAATAAAAACTGAGCACACTATCTGCGGTATGAGTAACAGTATAAGTTGAAAAATAATTTATCCTAAAAGATTAAGAGTCCTTTATAAGAGCAAACTAACACGTCATACCTCTTCATGAAATTCAGATCGGCACCCAGGATCCACTATCAATGCATCTCCAGAAGCGATAAATCCATTCTTCTCATAGTCACTAGAAGCATTTTGAGGTGCAAAAACAACCAGGTTTGTCGTATAAAAAGGTTTTCCTGTCCTGCTTCCCATCGGTACAAGCACAACACCAGGAGGGTACTCCTGAAATTGAGAAAGAATATTTACTCTGCAAAAACGTGATAATACGGTGTATATAATGGCAATAAAGAATGAGGCTTATTGTGGTACACGCAATTCACAGCAAACCTGGTAAGATAAGGTGGATGGGATTTTCAACTCTCTCGATTGCACAAACTCGTTTAGAAGACCAGCAACTATCAAAGGCCCCACACGATCATTGCCTGGTTTCACTTCAAGAAGCCAGTTTAAACAGCTCGGGACAGACACCCGTTTACACGACTCTGCATGTGTGTACGTTTATATAAGTCGCATATATCTCACTAAAATATCATATTTATTCCATTTTGAATTTCCTGATGAGTTTAATTTACGTGAAGAAAAACAAATAAATGCTAAAGTGACAATGAGCAAACCTGGTAAATTTGGATGCGAAGCTACCAATTTCCCCCTAACAAAAACCGAATTAATGGGCGGCACAGGTCCAAATTGAGCTTCCTCCACATACTTCAACAAGCTCCAATCTCCAACATCAGCTGCCTTAAACCCTACTTGTTCCAGAACCTATTAAACCAATACATATAAGTAATAATAAAACCACCCCAATCAAATTCTGCAATTCAACAATAAAATTCTCAATTACCCGATTGAGAGCCGAATCCACATCGAATTTTTTCAGCTCGATCTTCCCTGACCATGATTCTGCGCCTCCCAATGCAATTGAGGGCTCTGATATGCCTTCTAGAAGGTTCAATTGCGTGGAGGGTAAGTCCCAGAGGTCAGAATCCACGTACGAATCGTACTCCTCGTCGTTGAATTTCGGAGGCCGCGTCTGTTTCACGAGGAGATATTCGGCGTCGTTTAGAGGGTTCTCGAGAATCAAAGCGAGCTTATGATGCACCGCCATTATTGAGATTCGAACAAAATGAGATGGAAATGTTGAAGAAGGAAAAGAGAGAAGGGCAAGGGTTTTCAATTTGGAGGTAGTTGCACCAAACCCCGTTTAGAGTGAGGGTTTTAGTTGCACCAAACCCCGGTTTAATGGGTTGAAGTAGGTGATGCTGGAAGACAGGGGCGGTCCTATGCCTAGGGCAAGGTAGGCTGCTGCCTACCCCAAAATTTTAAAAAATAAAAAATACCCATATATAATAGGGCAACTCATGTGAAACATACAAACCTATGTCCACCCAAAGAGCAACCCACATGTATTCATAACCTAAAATTTCTCTCTTCTTTAATTATCTCCTCTTTAATTACCTACCTCAAATATTAAGATGTTGTATATGACAACATTGAATCTAACATATTTTAAATAGGTTAGAAGTTATGTGTTCTAATCTGTTCTAGCGTTTACTTGAGAATGAATTTTAATTTGCTGACTTTGTTGAAATTAATAAGGTCTTTGATTTTTGGAATTTTGTTGAGATGTTTGATTTGATATTGGTATTGTTGAGATGTTTGATTTGTTCTTGATATGTTAATGTTTGATTAAAGGCATTGATGTTATTATGAGAATTTATTTGATTTTTTTTTTTGGGATGTTGGATTAAATAGTTTATCTTTTGTTATGTCGGATCACAATCCGAACCCCAAGAAAACAAAGAATTTGTTGGAATTTTTTTTTTTAAAGAAAAAGATTAGTTTTTTCTTTGTTGCTAAACTTTTATTTATATATAGAGATGCATTTGATGGTAAGGCTCATTATGTCCTCCTACTAGGTGTATATTTTTATGTTTATTAATGAGATTCACTCATAAAGTCGAGTTTTTAATGTAAGTTTCGCTCAGTCGGATTTCGAATCCTGGATCCGCCACTGCTGGAAGAGATACTTTGATTTGACCGTTAATGGAGGTTTTGGACGTTTAGGTAGCCGTTGGTGTTGCGAGAATAAGAAGTCAAAAGGGACGGAGCTTATGTTAATTTGATAAGCCCAATTATGTGTTGGGCCAATAATTGGGCTATATCCACCCCACTTTGTATTAACCTTTTAGTAATAATAGGCCTCCTCATTTCAAATGGCCTCTTGTTTTATCTTTTTTTTGGTTCTAAATTTCAAATAGTCTCCTTGGGTTAGAATGAAAAAAAGAAAAGAAAAACAACAAAAAATAAATCATCATGATAGACTGTAGAGTAAGAACATTGTTTTTGTTTGGCTCCTTGTAGATAGTGAGTCAATTATTCATTATATATCAAACAATTTGACACGTATGTATAATTGACTCATCAATAGCATTAAAAAAAACTTATGTACAATGCGGTCTACTTGTAAGAAGTCGGTTATTGTTCAAAGAGTAATGCGTTATTTTATTTTAGAAAAGCAATCACAAGGCATAGTCGTTGGGGATGAGGAGAATGGTGTATGAGTGTTGTTGCACCCAACCAACAAGATAACAAGAAACATTTGGGGCAATGTCATGATGGATGTTGAATGAAATGTCCAAGGGTGAGCCACTAAACTAAAGAGCACGATGTGATTGTATTGGAGACTGGAAATTATCTTCAATGGTGGGTTGGGTTGGGCTATAAAACTAACATATATGTGGATACGTGTGTAGTTATCTTGTTTTCGGCTTTCCTTAATTGTCAATTTCAAGATTAAGTTGAAGGAGGAACAGGGTTTCAATTCAAAGAGTAAACGAACAAACCTAAAGTTACTTCATATAATGCAGACAATGTCTTTTGCCAATAGAAAAACAGGTACTTTTGCACACGAAAGACACACGACAAGAGGCACATATGAATGATCATGTCCAAAAGCTTCTCCCACTAACCCTAAATTTGACTCGTGACTGTATATTTACTAAAAGGGCAGACGTGGATGGCATTGGAGGGTTGTATATATTAATAATATTGCATATCCATCATATATATTATATATGCGCTGCGGCCCTGCGGGTAGTGTAGTGGACCCATTATTGAAATTTGAAAGACAGGTCAATCTCTCTCTCTCTCTCCTGAGCACTTATGAAAGCGTTGGGAATATTCTGCAATCTGCATATAAATACGCTCACTTACTTATCAATTTTATGATCACAGTCTTCATCAATATTTATTCACAAAAGATTCAAAGCACCAAGACGTAAAATAAAGGATATGCTTTTTTTGTTTTGAGAATTTTATATAAATGAAAGTGAGACCAAAGTGCTTTACAATCTAATTGCAGATTTCTCGCAGTATTGGTTTGGTGGGTTATCCAATATCCACACTCACACTAGTTATATAATTGAAGAGTGTGTGGCAAACATAAGCATTACACGCTCAACCAGAATCCTCCATTCCACTCACCCATGTTAATTGGTGTATATGGAATCAACCTGTGTTCAGATTATTAATTATAATTATGCGTGTTCATCATTAGGTTGAGGTTGGCCACCGTGGGTGATTAGTAATTAATGATTATGATCTTATCTCTCTTTGTTTTTCTTTTCTTCCTTACTTTTATTTCTGAATATTCCTTCATAATATATGTTCCTTGTTTATCGATAAGCCGCCAAATTAAGGAGACTTGTATATTATTAGAGTAGTTAATATATATATATATATATAAATAATTAAGCAGAATAAAAACTTTGTGAATCTCACTTGGCCCAAGTCAAAGACAAGGTTGGTGGGTGGGGAAAGGTCTATCTATTGCCCTGTCTGGATATAAACATTCCCAGAGCCCACCCACCCTAGCAAGATAGAACAACACCTACTCGTACGTAAGCGCGGGTTTAAAGAATGGGTTTGAAATTCTGAAAACCCTAATAACATATACATATAAGAGATAAGATTAATATCCCTGTTCCTCAACAACCATGCAAAGACAGACTGATCATCGTGTGTTTGTGGGGGAATATTATTGACCTTCCAAAAAATACTGAATAACTGCATGCATGCGTAGGCCTAAAAATATATATTACATATGGTGTATAGGGGCTAGGTAGGGTGGTGATGAATTTGGATACCCATTTTATTTGGCCTGCATTGGCCACTTTCTCTCTGGTGGTGTCAACTCACAATTTAACTTGCTTGCTCCCTGTCCCTCCCTCCATTGTCTAGTTTTTGACCAGTTGCAACTTGCATGCCCAACGACACGTCGTACGTGTATTATATTCTTCGTTCAAACTCTGTTCCGTTGCAGTGTTGTGTACAAAATTTCCTGAGGCGTCATGATTCGTATCATACTATGTAAACCACTGCACGCCACAGTCCGGCCCCATAAAACAATTGGGTCCAACCACAGAGACTAAAACTAATAATTAACCCTGGGCCCTGGCCTGGAATAATAATTAGTCGGGCACGATGACATTAACATACATGTAATCCTCTCTCGGTGGCCATAAAGGCTATAGTAATTTTGGAATCTCCAAAGCTGAGGGAGGAAGAAGAATATCTAATCTGGATATGGAACTTGTGCCACTGCCTGCCACCCGTCCATTTCATTTTAATGTACCCCAAACATCGAAAGGAACCAGCTGCCATACGTTACCATATTGACTTTACAGTACAGATGTAAACAAATTAATACGTATGTTTAAAGGAAAAGATAATGAAAATGCCTACTTTCACTCTTGGAACCTTATTCCCTAGATGTATTTTGCCAAACATCTTTGCCCCATGAAAACCATATTTAATAAGAATATGTCACAGGTACACTAGCAAATTTCTCATGAGAAGAGCTACAACTAATTAAAAAGTATATTATGAAATTTATAATTATTCTTTTTAATTAGTGATTGACAGCAACAAACTAACTTTTAACCTTTCTTCTTATCCAACTTTATTTTTGGTAGCACCATGAGGATACAATGAAGTGATTGGAGATGGAAGTGGGAATTCCTTTCGTAAAATAGTTGAGAAAAAGTTAAAATTAAAACTTTCAATAATAACTCTATCCTCTTGTGCTGGGGCGGAGCCATTCCTAGGCCAAGAGTGCTCTTGGCCCTCCCAGTTTTTTGATCTCCCTCCTCTACTATATCATATACGATTAAGTTTGAAATATAACATGAAATCATATGTATTTGATATATTTTATTTTCTATTTCAGCTCCCCTATTTTACAATTCTAGCTCCGCCGCCACTCCTCCTGATAAAAGTTTCATTTCTGCTTGTCACTATCATTCGTCACTTATTCCGCTAAAGGTCCACCTCGGCTACCTGATTCTATCCTTACGCAGTGGATGCTTACGTGGTCAAACGACAAAACCAAACAGTCCAAAAACGCCGTGGTGGTGGGTTTCTCACGCGTGGAGGGCACGTGTACTATATTATTGTCCTGCCGAAAACTATTTTACTGGTCACCAAAAATATTATATTTTTAATTTTTTAAAGAAGTCCAAACAAAGAATAGGGTCGTTTTTCTTTGTACAGCGTGGCCAGTTTGCGACACGTGGACAACTAAAAAATGTCCCCTCCCTTATCTTTTGCAAAAGCATTGAAACGTTCTTGTGCTTTTTGCCCGTTCCCTTCTCCTTTGCAGCACAATTAGAATTCAGCAACACACACATCCAACAACATACAAGCAACCACAGAAGAACGAGCGCGCGTGTATGTCTTCATTCTGGCCAACAACACCAGATTGCTCAAATCTTGCACCATAGGCAACCTTAGGGTTTTTGGAAATCTGAATCTGCAATCACATTCCCAATTCATGACGTTTCGCTTTCTATAAATGGCGGCACCATTTCCTGGCGGTGGAGGAGGAGGCGTGGCGGTAATGGCTGGGCCTCTGACGCCGCTCGATCCCTCGCCTTCCAAGACTTGCTTGAAGAATTCGGCGCTCAAGTCTCCAATTCTCATCTTCTTGCTGTTTCACAAAGCTATTCGCTCCGAGCTCGATGGCCTCCACCGAGCCGCCATGGCCTTCGCCACCAGCCAAGCCTCGTCCGCCGACATCGAGCCCTTGTTAGAGCGCTACCACTTCCTTCGCGCTATTTATAAGCACCACTGCAATGCCGAGGACGAGGTGTGTTTCTGGTTTCACTCTGCTCTGCGACATTGTAGCCGTAACATTCCAGTTGTTTCAAATTTCAGAGAATTTGATGATTAGTATTCGTTTATTACGCTATAATACGATTGATTTGAATTTTTTTATCGTTTAAGTATTCACTTACGTTA